ATTACACTGCATATATAGTAAAATATTAGGTTTTAGATGTACAAAACATATATTGAAAACCCTTTGTCGGATTTTTTTTACTTATTTCAAGTTCGAACACCTTTCAGAAAATTCCAGGCTTCGCCACTGCCCACAGGATGGGATATCCATGAAAGTACAAGAGGGAGGGATGAATTGTACGCCTATTAGAAATTGGCCGACTGTATTTAGACTTAGTCGACTGATACGGAGACAGCCTGCACAGAACTGTTAGTCCTTTCGATTTAAACAAGTGTAAATCACAACAAACAGTACTCTTGGGTTGCAAGAGTGTCGTCTTTTAGATCTCCTTGTAAATTGAATTGAGTACAGCCTTTGTGGTTTTCAGCGATCACCGCCAACGTTGACAAGGTTGGTTTTCACTCGCTCACCAACAACGAACAAAGGATTGATTTTCACTCGCTTGCCAACAACGATACTTTAATTTTCACTACCATGCTTGGACTTGGTCTTCTTTAACTCTTTAGGAGAGAATCTTGATTTAAGGAATGATTCTTTAATAATTGATCTCATTCTTTTTATAACTAACATCTCCTTTATTCATGCCTATGTATGAACTTGCAGAATATTAGTTATCTTCTTTCCTTTTGTGCAAGATCACCTATTTTGAATTTGCCTTCTCGTATTTTGCTTTCTTCCTTCTTCCTTCTTCCTCTTGATTTGGCTTCCTTCCAACATTTTGTGCTAATCAATTATATACCGTGACCATGCTTGAGATATCTTTTCAAATAACTTTTTCTTGTACACTACATAAATTTGGCATTCCCTTAATCTAAGGAAAATTTTCTTTCCTTCAGAGAGTAGGTACGGAAAGGTTTTCCAAGTCTTCTTTGGCCTTGCTATTAATTTCCTCCATAGTCTATATATGGTGATGTCTTGTATCACTAGTAGATATTCTCCATTCTTTTGATAGTCACAATACTCCTTGATCAACGTAGCACATTTCCTTACTGAAATATTCCATGCTATCTCCTTCAATCTTCTGATTTCTTTCCTTTTGGTCTTGTACCATAATGAACCTGTAAAAATAAATTTACCACAAGTAAATATTCTTTGATAAAACCTTATGTTGGTATGGTATCATCAAAATTAGTCTATGAAACCTTGAGGCTTATAATTCATAGGATTAGTTATCCACCTTCTATATGGGATAACTAATCCTACCATTTTAGTGTAAAAGTTATTTCGGAACTAGCTAACATCCCAAATCAAATATGGAATAAAGTTAATCCTAAACTTTATCCTGGAATTGTTATTCTTATCCCATGTACCAATAAAACCCCTAAGGACTATTTGGGTACTTTACCTCCCTCTCCCAAAATCAGGATTAAATTCAAAAATCTGAATTTTTTAAAAGTAAATATAGTTGGGAATTACTTACATAATTGATGACCATGAGATCTTGGATCCTCACATTAGGGAAAATCTGATTTCTTGTTCACCATATTCTCTCACGAAAACTCATAGCCTTTTTCTTTTGCTTCACTAATATATTGCTCTTTCCTTTTTTTATATTGTTCTTTGTACTAAAAAATGGACACATGTGCCTATCACATGATCACGATTTGCATTTAAACAAATTAAATAATGAGTAATATAAAATGATATAAACAGAACTATTCTACTCGGATAAAAATTAATAAATCGAAAATATTCAATATTCTCCTAAAATTTGAGTGATATGAGAATGTACCAAAAAGTTCCTTTGTTGTTTGAGCTTTACTCCATAGCCCGAAGTGATTGCTCGTATCAAAGTTTTAACCCCACATGCTTTTTTTTCCCTCACTCTTTTACTGTTTATTTTTAATGTCTTTTTTGTGCATTTTATGTGAAAATTTTGTGAGGCAACATTAAAATTAACTATAACAATAACAAGTTAATGTAAGTTCCAACAATATGTTGTACTATTGTCACAACACAAACTCATGGCACGTATCGTCTATTTTGCTAATTGATCTTATGGGTTTATACCTTAGTTTACGTCTTTAACGAGTCCAAAAACGTACGTTCCATGTGAACTTATAATATGACTTATAAAATTCTTCACGTTCCTTTCCCATTCTGATGCGGGACTCGCATAATGTGTCATGTGCATCCTTTTTTTAAAAACTTGTCATCCTAGAAGCTTGTCAGTCCTTCTCTTTGACTCGCCCTTTTTGGACCTCCATCCGTCAAGTGCGGCACAACTATTATACAATTGACACTGCACATTTTATAATAGAAATAATATTTTTAAGAAAAATATATTAAAAAACTTTAACCATATTGTATCTAATTAATATGACAAGTTTTTACTATTCTTTAAATTGTAAGGATTTACTTTGACCAAACTATATGGATAATCATAGATATTTTGGTTGCAATAATGTCCAAATCAAATTTAATTGATCAAAGTTGTGGAGGGTGGGTAGGGGACCAACAACAAAAGCATAGCTAGTGCAAGTTCTAGGCCAAATACTATTGGGACCAAATAATTTCATGATTGCTTATTTGGTCCATTCACTTGCTCATAAATTGATCTAATAAGTTGAACCGAACATCATCATTATAAAAAAAAATAACCTAATATTTATTAGATCAAGTTTCTCTTGTTTATTTATGCCTTTTTTTCATACAAAAGGTATACTAGAACACACAAATGAGATTTCATACACTCCATCACAAAGAAAAGGAATATTGAATGATCGATTCATCTTAAAGAACATTTATACCAAATCACAAAATTCTCCATTGTGATGTTCTAAGGCAAATAAATAAAGAATTTGATGAACGAAAATTTGGACGAAAAAAGAAAATTAAAGAGAGAGAAAATTATACATGTCAATTATATCAAATCACTGAGGTTGACCTCAACTACAACTATTACAAAGGAGGAAAACGTGTTAGGACCGAAATAATCAGGTGTCATATGGAAGCTAGCAAAGCAAACCTTGAGCGACGATAAATCGAATAACAAAAGAGAAATCTACCAAAAGAGACACAAACATTTTAACGTGGTTCGGTCAACTGACCTATGTCCGCTGCGGAGATGAGCAATCCACTATAATAAAAAGAGAGTACAAAATATCGAGAGAACAACCTCACGAAGAGGCAAACAAGTGACACACTAACACTTGTCCCGTAAAGTTCTCCCCCTAAACAAGACTCTCAAGCCCCCCTATGACTACATTGTGGATGCTACTGAATGAGAAGGGGGGATCCTCAATTTATAGAAGTCCAAATATTTTCCTACAAGAAAAAGGACTAGCCAAATATTGGAGATTTATAATTTCCTTTTACAAAAAGGAAAACCCAATTAAGGTAATTGTATTGCTCTTTTCTTTCAAGAGATAGGAAAACCAAATATGGTAAAAAAATTATGGCAAACATCTAACAAAACGGACATATTTATCCTCTTATTCAATTGCCTCCTACAATGTACTCCTTTTATTTTCCTATTGATTGCATAAATTTTATCTTTTAGAAAATAATTAACGTGTCACAAGTTAAATCGAACATCATTATTATTAAAAGATCTAGAAAATTCATAAAAACATTTTTAAAAAAATGAGAACATTGAGAGGCCAAATTCAAAGTAACAAATAATAAATTTTCGTGAACAATTATCATGACAGCCAGTGTCACATGTATATCGTTGTTTGGTTATACATTGTCTAGAATCATTACTCGTTATTTATTTATTTTGCTTTAGTATATATATTTAATTAGACAACTTGCCTTAACTCTTTGTTTTCATTTGTATGGACAAAATAACGATGCTATATAATTGAAAATATTAAGAAAAAAGTTATATATACACAATATACATGGCCTACACCAACGAAATATCATGTGATTTGTTTTTTTTTTCCTTTTTACCTAGTTAATATAAAAGAAAAAAAAAAACTCAATAGGAACACTGATATAACTTAATATTCACTGAATTCAAACTCTTTATCGCATTAAATTTTTTAAATTTTTTATTATTTTATTTCTATTTACTTTTCTTTTTTTAAGTTACATATATACCCCAATAGTTAGGTAGTGGAAAATGACAAAACTTATAGAACTAATAGAAAAGTAAAAAGTATAGAGACGAAAAGTTTTAAAACTTTGTACTCGTTTCATTGTCATTTTTTGTACTTTAAAATAAAATAGTAATATTTCCTCTCCTCTGGACTAGGAAAGAACAACATCAGAATAGTACAGAATGACGATTAATTACCAGGACAAGAACTTAGAAAAACTAAAATAAAATAAGTAAAGCCAACTCCAAAAAAACCCATCAAGGTTATGGTAGGATGAATATTATCTTTACACCATTAATCACAAGTCTCGGTCTATCGGATTCAAATTTTGAACATGAAAAAAATCCTTACAAGGATCACTTTCTCTTTTAATGAGCTTTAACTGTAGAATTGTCACTATGAGGGGTCAAAATATAAAGAAATAAACTCACCAAAAAGTCAATGAGTGTCAATATATAGTACATATACATTAAAAAAGTTACCTAATTACATACTACATCCGTTTCAATTTATGTGAATCCATTTGACTGCGCACGGAGTTTAAGAAAAAAGAGAAGACTTTTGAGTTTCTGGTGTAAAATGAGGCATATAAATATTGTATGGCTATAAATCATCGCATAAAGGTAAATTGTTTTCAAATAAAGAAAGAGTATTATAATTTTTCGACCACGGGTATCGTTTGACATTTTGGCCACTGAGCTTTAAGTGACACAATCTGTATTAGTCGGGACCTCAAAAAGTGTATTTGATGCCAAATAAAGAGTATAGCCGTTTACAAAAATAATACTAGCTGGCAATTTTTTTTGGATACTAATGTATAATATACATATTCAATATATATTTGATTAGCATATATAATTATTTTTGATCGACCCGGCCAAATGTATAACTTGCCAAAAAAAGAAAAAAGGAAAAAAACAATACTAGCTAACTCCTATAAAGTAGTCCCCTATCTATGCTTTTCTCCCTAAGCCTTCCATTCAACTAAACAGTCCAAAACGATTTCCTCCAACTGAAAAAACACACCAAACTCTATCTCCATAAAATCAATCAGAAGAAAAAAGCAAATAAGCTCTGGAGGCTTCATAATAATTTCAGTAAGCTCTTTTTTTCTTCTTCCATATTTCCATATTTTGTCATTTTTCTGCTGAAAATATACCAAGAAAACACCGAGTTTTGCTCTGTTTTTTAGTCTATATATATGAGTTTTGATTCATTTTTTTTTTTTAATTTTTTCTTAAAGGAGAAATGCAGAGGATAAAAATGGGATTCTTGATTAGAATTCTTGTGCTCTTTTGTTGGATGGTATTAGCAAAAGCAGAGTACATGAAATACAAAGATCCAAACAAGCCATTAGGCAGAAGAATCAAGGATTTAATGAGCAGAATGACTTTGGAGGAAAAAATTGGCCAAATGATACAAATTGATCGTACAGTTGCAACTCCTGAGGCCATGAAGAAGTATTACATAGGTAAATGGGACGGGTTAAGTCGAACACACTAACTTTAAATTCTGAGTCGAAAAGCCATATTTCAATCTTTTTTGTCCTAGAAGTTCAGTTATATACACGGTACAACTTTTCGACATAAGTAATTTAGATGTGGCTTCGTCACTGACTATATAAAGAACATAGTTCACTGCTCTGGGTTGCCCTTTTTTTTCAGGAGGAACCTTGGAGTAGCAACAAAGTTATCTCTGTATGACCTATAAGTCACGGGTTCGAGTGGAATCAACCGCTCATGCTTGCATTAGGGTGGACTTACTACATGACACCCTCTCCCTTCCTCGGACCCTGCATGAATGCGGGATGCTTCATGCATCGGGCTGCCTTTTTTTTTTTTAAAAGTTCACGGCAGATTCTAAATCCCTAATTTGCCCCATTGGGATGCGGCCCTTCCTCGGACTTTGTGCACCAGACTGTACTTTTTCTAAAACTCACTGATAAATCCTGAATCCGCCATTGTGAACATAAGTGTTAATTTATCTAACATTTTGTTGTGTGAGTTGCTGTATATATGACCTTAATTTGATTTCTTGGTGATTTTTGAGGAGCAGGGAGTGTATTGAGTGGAGGTGGAAGTGTGCCTAAGAAAGAAGCATCAGCTGAAAATTGGATTGATATGATAAATGGATTTCAAAAGGGTTCATTATCAACTCGTCTTGGAATACCTATGATATATGGGATTGATGCAGTTCATGGCAACAATAATGTATATAAAGCTACCATTTTCCCTCACAATGTTGGTCTTGGAGTAACCAGGTAACTTGAGATAATATACTTTTTGTCAGTTTTTTTTATTATTATCTGGTGTTCGGTGTAAATTGGTCCGATTAATTCAGATTCTGCGTTGCGTATGGCCCATTAAAGGGCGATCGTTCCCTACCAATAACTTTTCTTTTTTAGGGCTCTATCCCCGACACCTCTAAAAAGGGAACCTTGGAGCAATAGTAAAGTTGTCGTCGTGTGATCTATGGTCACGGATTCGAACCGTGAAAGTAGCCACTAACGTTTGTATTAGGTTAGACTGTCTACATCACATCCCTTGGAGTTTCGAGCCTTACTCGAACCCTGTGTGAACACGGGATGCCTTGTGCATCGCCTTTTTATCCCGACACCTCTAATTAGGGGTGGAGATATTCCATAAGGACAATATACTTTATGTCAGTTTTTTCTGTTTGTAATTAAGCTACCTTTGGAGTTTGGACTAACCTTTCTTGGGAAAGTTCATCACTTTTTTGATTGCTTTTGTTGAGTTTTTCAATCTTGGATTTATATTTTTGGTTAATAGGGATCCTCAACTGATCAAGAAGATTGGAGCTGCAACTGCACTAGAAGCTAGAGCAACTGGAATTCCTTATGTTTTTGCACCTTGTCTTGCGGTACATATTTACACAATCATGTCACTTATTATGTATTGGAAGCAGATTTTTAATAAACATTAATTAGTAACTTGGTAATGATAAGTTACTTACCATCATAGGTTAAGGTACACTAATTATGTAAAATATACTTACATTATCAGTGTACAAGGACAACCCGATGTATGAAGCATCCTACACAGTGGCGGAGCCAGAATTTTCCTTAAGGGGTGTCAAAATATAAATAAGTAAGCATATGAAAAAATTAAGGGAAGTCAACACATAGTATATATACATAAAAATAAAATATTTAACCTAGTTAAGCGGTATAATTTCTGGACGAAGGGGTGTCAATTGACTCCCCTTGCCAATGAGTGGCTCCACCACTGATCCTGCATTTACGTAAGGTCCGGAAAAGGGCCGCATCCCTAAAGGGTGTGATGTAAGTAGGTGCAAACATCAATGGTTGATTCTACTGCTTGAACGGTGACCTATAGATCACACGGAAGCTCCAAAGTATTATATTATCAGTATATATAACGTAAATTTGTTTATATATTAATTTGAATTCTTGATCAGGTTTGTAGAGATCCAAGATGGGGTAGATGTTATGAGAGCTATAGTGAAGATCCAAACATTGTTAGGGCAATGAGTGAGATGGTTCCTGGTTTACAAGGAGATGTTCCTTCTAATGGTAGATTAGGAGTTCCTTTTGTTGCTAACAAGTAAGTAATTTTCCCTTTCGAATTTAATTTATATCCACTAAAAGTATATTGAACCTTTTATATTATCAGTGCAATTTAACATATCGTAAGTGCATAAAATTAAGTTAAATATTTTTTAGCCTATTGACTAGCTATTCTATAGGTTCTTGACAGGGCGGAATTACCCCTTGGATACGGGTTCGGATGAACCCACTAACTTTTGTCTAATCCCTATATTTGTCTTAAAAAATTATTGAATTACGCACAAATTATTAATTTAGAACCCCATAACTTAAAAGAATTAGAATACTGAACTCATAAGTTTCAAATTATGACTCCGCCTCTTGTTCTTGATCTATATATCTTTGTTTAATGTGGAAATTATATATCATTAACGCAACCAAAAAAGCGCTACTTCACTTTTGGTCATGTAGTGTGTACTATATAATTATTGAGTTTACCTTAGCAAAAAAAAAAAATATTGAGTTTATAAATCATGATGTTGATTCAGAAAGATATTTTGGCCTAACTCACAGAAGTCATAATCTTGAATTCAATCATATTCTGAAACTCACATGCATATATATTAATGGCTAAGACGCGCTTTTTCTTTGACTTGTAAGGATTTCTTGTCTTTATTTTTTCTTTAGTGGAAATAGATGGAGATTTTTATTTGATATTTTTTGGATTTGGCAACATGCAAGAATAACCCTTTTCTTTGCGAAAACCACGACTCCGCCTCAGTTCCAAAATAGTTAAAGTTCGCTATATGAATTTTAATTAATCATATCTTTTTTATATTTATACTGTGAAGATTTATTATAAATTAACTAATTTTACGCTGGTTTGTCAGTCTACTCAACTCTCCTCGTTTATTCAAATTCAGTACTGACAATGTGAGCAGCTGACAGGCGAATTTAAGAATTACCCTTTCGTTTAAGAAACAAATATTCATTTGGCGATTGTTGTTAGAAGAATAAACCTAAATAGTCAATCACCCTATCGCTTAAATCAGAAATAGCTGGTGAATGTATAATACATATATAATATGTGTATAATTTTATATAATTAATGTGTAATTTATTTATACTAGCTAAAAGAAATAAACAGTGAATCTGATCGATTTGATTTTCTGTATAAAGAGAAGTTGGAAAAAAGTGGCATAATTGATATTTAAGTTGGCATGTGATTTGGAGTTATTTGGTAGGATACAGGATTTTCGTGATCCATGTGATAATGATAAGATAGCCAATAAGAAAAAGACAAGAATTGAAACAAAACAAGGTACGGTATTTCATTTTGGTCCCGTTGAGGATTAAAGTCTATCATTTGAATTGATTTATGACACAAAAGCATCTTTCTCGTATGGGATTTTGTAGCATGCCATGGACCTACTGACATGTACCACCTTTTCCACTTATTAGAAACCAACAAAGATAAAACAAAAATAAGGTAAAAATAGTAATTAAATATTCAAGCTCACACAATTTAATTTGTGACGTGTTTTATCAAAAGCACAAGATTTCTACCTAATACATTATTCTTCACCTTCTCCAAAGTTTAAGTGTGTAGTCGGAAAATTCTGATCATGTCATGTCATGTTGACTCACTAATGGTATTTGTACAGGCAAAAGGTGGCTGCTTGTGCCAAGCATTATGTAGGTGATGGAGGGACAGTAAAAGGCATCAATGAAAACAACACAATAATTGATAGACATGGTTTGCTTAGTATACATATGGCAGGTTACTATAATTCAATTATCAAAGGTGTGGCTACTGTTATGGTTTCTTATTCAAGTTGGAATGGTGTCAGAATGCATGGTAATAAAGAATTGGTCACTGGTTTTCTTAAAGGCACACTTCGTTTCAGAGTAAATTCCCCAATTCTCTCTTCAAATTTTGGCTTTGTTGTGTTCAATAGATACCATTTATTTTGCTCGAATTCTTCAAAAATATTGTAGCGCTTGTGTCAGATCCTCCGAAAATGTATTTAGTTTGAAGGATTCGACTCGGTGCGGTAATATTTTTGGAGGATCTGAGCAACATTGTAGTGCTCAGTAGATGCAGTCTATGTTGCTCAAATCCTCAAAAGATGTTGTCGCACTTGTATCGGATCCTCCAGAAAATTTGGAGAATCTGATATTGGTGCTTTGAAGGATCTGATACGGGTGCAACGATATTTTTGAAAGATTGGAGCAACATAAGATGCAACAAGATAGGATTTTTCAAATTAATATTGTGAATGTTTTGGAATTTGTTTCAGGGGTTTGTTATTTCAGATTGGGCAGGAATTGACAAGCTTACTTATCCTTGGCATGCAAACTATACATATTCCATTCTTGAAGGTGTTAATGCTGGCATTGACATGGTTTGTCACTAATCACTTATTTCAAAATGCATAGTCATTTTCCTCTTTTCCTTATGTAATTTGTGCTATAGTGTTCGAATCAAAACATATACTTAATGATTGTTTAAATTCTGGATCTGCCTCATACTGTCACGTGATTCTAGAACCTCAAGAATGTGTTTCGACTCAGTTTACATGACCTATAAAGAGCTAATTCTTGCTCTTTCCTTGTTGTATATTGCAGGTAATGCTGCCTTACAACACTACAGAGTTCATTGATGGTCTAACCTATTTAGTGAAGAACAACTTTGTTCAAATGAGCCGAATTGACGATGCAGTTAAGAGAATTCTTAGAGTAAAGTTCCAAATGGGACTTTTTGAGAGCCCTCTAGCTGATTATAGTATGGTGAAATATCTAGGTAGCGCGGTGAGTTAAACGTTTAGAGATAAGCGAAATAATAAGTTACTATAAAATTAGAAAAAAAAAATGAAATCTTGATTCAACTTGTTGTGGTACATATTGCAGGAGCATAGAGAATTGGCTAGAGAAGCAGTGAGAAGGTCACTTGTTTTGTTAAAGAATGGTGCAAATGCAGATGAACCAGTATTACCACTTCCAAAAAAGGCATCAAGTATATTAGTTGCAGGAATCCATGCTAATAATATGGGCTACCAATGTGGTGGCTGGACTATTACATGGCAAGGACTAAGTGGAAATACAACAATTGGTACATTTCTTTATCCCTCAACTTATTACCTTGTCTGCTCAAACAATGTTTCGATTCTCGATTCTAGTATTAAGCGAAAGGTTACGCCTAGAGGTTCTGTATTACGGGTCAATCCTACTCTACTAGTGCTAATAAGCAGCATATGGGAAGAAGCACTACACCTAGGAATCAACAACACGAAAACTTTGTTCTAAGTCAGCCCTTTCCTTAGCGGGCTTGGGACTAAAAGAATGGTTGGGACAACAAACATTCATCTCGTTCATCCTTTGGACGCTTCTAAAGAGTCCTATTAAATCCAAGAATTAGAGGCCTGCCTTTCATCCACACCAGAATAAATAGAGTTTTCCGGAAAAAACCTGCTAGTAGAGGAAGACCTCTTAGGGATAAGAGACATAGGGCTAAAGAGAGAGCCAAAAAATGATCTTTTGTATATAATCTTGCACTAATCTCGAAAGTTATCAGTTTCGGTACGTAGACCACTCCCACCCTCTCCCAAAAAAGAGAGAAGTTCGATGCACGAAGCATCTATGTTCATGTTAGATTTGAGGAAGGGCCGCATCCCAATGGGTTGCAATAAAGGCAGCATACCTTGACACAAGCTTCAGTGGGTGGTTGACGACTCGAACCCGTGATCTATAGTAACACGGTGCCCCTACTAAAAAAGAAAAAATGAAAAACTTGGAATGTCAATCTTTTTTTAACCATAAGTGTTATATGTCCAAATTTTAGTTGGACGGGTCAGACTACGACCCATTGCTTAACCTATTTTGACTCAACTGCAGTTTCAAAGTTAATTGAACAAGTCCATAACTCTATTGTGCACTAATCAATTAGTCACTTTTTTTACTAGGTACTACGATCCTCTCAGCCATAGAGAATACAGTTGATCCAGAAACAAAGGTTGTGTTCAAGGAAAATCCAGATGCTGAATTCATCAAGTCCAACAACTTCTCCTACGCCATTGTCGTGGTGGGCGAGACGCCATATGCGGAAGGCTCTGGTGACACCCTAAACTTAACAATCCCCGCACAGGGTGCAGACACCATGACCACAGTTTGTGCCACGGTGAAATGCGTGGTCGTGCTCCTCACGGGCAGGCCGGTCGTGATTCAACCATACCTAGCTCAAGTGGATGCACTTGTTGCAGCTTGGTTACCAGGAACAGAAGGGCAAGGTGTAGCTGATGTCTTATTTGGTGACTATGGTTTCACTGGTAAACTTGCCAGGACTTGGTTCAAGACTGTTGATCAACTCCCTATGAATGTTGGTGATCCACATTATGACCCTCTTTTCCCTTTTGGATTTGGACTTACCACAGAACCAACCAAGGCCTACTAATGAAACAGCTATTTTCACACACACACATACACACTCAAGAGGTCCAAATATACACAGTTTTTACCTATTTATGATTGAGTTTAGCAAAGATTAAATATGTAACAGAGGCAATGTCAGAAACTTTGACAATTGGAGTCATGGAAATGAATTTTTTTGTTTTGTCTCAATGTGTTATCTCCGCAACTGAAGCTTACCGATTACATGACCCTTGATAGAAGGGTGTGATGGTTGAGGATTAGAGTGGAAGGTTAGTACGTAGTCGAATGTTTTTCTTTTCTTTCTCGGGTAACATTAGTGCTAGTATGACATCCATCTTATTCGTAGATTGCTATCACTACATATTGTTGATTGCTATCTTTCGCTTCAGTTTTCTTAATATCTTACTGTTGTTACTACTTGTTGCCACTGCTTCTTTTTCTCTTCTCTTCTCTTTAGCCGGGAGTCTATCTGAAACAGCCTCTCTGCCCTCCTACTGCGTACACATTACCCTCCCGAGACCTTACTTGTGAGAATTCACTGGGTTTGTTATTGTTGTTGTCTCTATATGTAATCTTAAATAATACAATCAAACAGTGGGGGCCACGGTGGCCGAAGGATGAAGAGTTGAACAGTCTTCATCGGAAAATTATGTTACGTATATAGATCTATTGGAAATAACGTCTCTATCCTCACAAGGTAGGGGTATGGTCTGCGTACACACTATCCTCCCCAAACCCCGCGGTGTGGAAAAATATTGGATATGTTGTTGTTGTATATAGGTCAAATGCTACTTTATACGCATATAGTAAATCTTGAACGCTCTTGAGGCAATTGAGAGAGGTATCCTAGTGGCGAATGGTGTTCAAAGTGACATGAAAGTCGCAGGTTTGATCCTGATATCCTACAAAGTGTCATTTTTGTTTCCATCTCAACGCTGTTTCTTAAATAATACAATCAAATACTGAGGAAGCTGACCAAGTAAAATGAAACGGACAAGAATCGAAAATTTTAGGTTCTATGCCTTCATGACTGGATATCTTATACGTATAACTTGTATGTGACGTTTCTTCGTAAGTGGATTATTGTTGATGCTACCAAATGTGTTGGACTCAACCGGGATCTATCGGAAACAGCCTTTGCGTACAAGGTAGGGGTAAGGTTGCGCACAAACTATGAACCACGATCTCCTGCCGATCCCATTCAAATTTGACTATTTGATGCAAAGTAGACGGTACTGCCTTTGCGGCATGAATCCAGGGCCGTCCCAATAAAAGATTGTAGGAAACACTGACATCGAGCACTTGAAACTCCATAGTGAATTCCACAGGTCCTATTGTTAGCTCCAACACAATATCTCCCACTGTGTCTTTCCCTCCGCCGTCAAATCCCCTTACACAGATGCTATTTTTATGAATTCTTTCCCTGTCAACTTTTAACTTTTCTAGAGTGGAAAGAGGGCAAATGTTTGCACTAGACCCATTATCAATTAGCACCCGAGTTACCACGGCATCTTCACACTTCACTGTGAGGTAAAGGGCTCTATTATGTTCAGTTCCTTCCAATGGCAACTCATCATCAGAAAATGTTACCCTGTTCACCTCAAAAATTTTGTTTGCAATCTTCTCAAGATGATTCACAGTGATTTTATCTGGCACATGAGCTTCGTTTAGAATCTTCATCAACGCCCGGCGGTGTTCATCCGAATGGATCAATAAGGACAATAATGAGATCTGTGCCGGGGTTTTTCTCAATTGTTCCACAATCGAATAGTCCTGAGCCTTCATCTTTTTCAGGAACTCTTCAGCTTCTTCTTCAGTAACAGCCCTCTTTATCGGTGCCGGATTGTCTTTAGCTGCTTTAACCTTTCTCAATTCCTCAGGGGCAAAGCACCTCCCTGATCTAGTCAACCCATGAGTTTCGCACACTTCTTCTTTAATTTCCTTTCCTTGGTACATCATAGTCATCCTGTCATAATTCCACGGGACAGCTTTCTCACTAACCACAGGCAACTGGGTCACCGGTTTAATGATAACTGGTTCTGTTCGAGCGCCTTTTACAACCAACACAGGCTTAACAACTGCTCCTGGTATTGTCACCTTAACAGGCTCTGGTTTTATTATCATCATTGGTTCACTGACTTTCCGGTCCACTGCGACCAAGGCTTTCCCATCAACCAATTTCTCATTTGCTTTATTTTCACTTGCCTTAATCATCATCACAGTTTGTGACGGCTTCTTGTATTCTCCCTTCTGCACTAACTCGATCATGTGAGCCTCATGATGAATTGGTAGCGGATTCTGCGTGATATTGGGAGTCTCCGGAGCCTGCACCTCAATTCTCCGTGTATCAATAAGTTCCTGAATGGCAGTTTTCAGATGCCAGCATTTCTCCGTGTCATGTCCAGGCGCTCCTGAGCAATACTCACAGTTTACTGAATGGTCCAGGTTCCTTGGGGGAGGGTTTGGTAATTTGGGTTCGATCGGGTTCAACATGCCCAACTGCCTTAATCTGTGGTACAGGCTGGTATAAGATTCACCCAAGGGAGTGAAAGTCTTCTTCTTTTGCGACCTATCATTCTTAAATGTGGGATTGGGTTGGAAACCGGCTCCAGCAGCATTTTTGTTGGTTCTTGGGGATGGGTAAGCGTTTTCAGATGGGTAAGTATTTTGGGGAGTGGGTGCGCGCCATTGTGCACGGGTAGGAGGTTGGGGGTATGTCTGGGCATCATGGACGGAGAAATGGGGAGTAGGAGGTGGGTAGTAATGCTGTGGTGGGCCATATGGAGTATGTGGGTAAGCTTGGGGGTGAGAGCGAGGTTGGTGATAATATGGTGACGGACTCCTGGACCAGACCCTTGATTCCACTACCGCCACTTCTTCTTTCTTCTTCTTTCCCAATACTCCTCCGGTGCCGCTTTGAATAGCCTGCGTAGTTGCTTTGAGTGCTGAATAGCTCATAATCTTGTTAGCCTTGAGACCCTCTTCCACCATACTTCCCATCTTCACGACCTCATTGAAAGTTTTCCCCACTGCAGACACCAGATGACCATAGTAAGTTGGCTCCAAAGCCTGAAGGAAATAATCAACCATCTCATTCTCTTTCATCGGAGGATCAACTCTTGCTGCCTGTTCTCTCCAACGGAAACCGTACTCTCTAAAGCTTTCTCCGGGCTTCTTCTCGATTTTGGTCAGTGATAGACGGTCCGAGACAATTTTGAGATTGTATTGAAAATGACATGCAAATGCTTGAGCCAGGTCGTCCCAGGTGTACCACCGAGCATGATCTTGTCGTGTTTACCACTCTAACGCTGCTCCACTTAAGCTTTGACTAAAGTAAGCCATTAATAGCTCATCTTTTCCCCCAGCTCCCCTCATCTTGCTGCAGAATCCCCTCAGATGGGCTACAGGATCACCGTGTCCATCATACAAATCAAACTTTGGTAACTTGAACCCTGCTGGCAGCTGGACATCGGGAAACAAGCACAAATCTTTGTAGGCCACACTGACTTGGCCACCCAATCCTTACATGTTCCTGAAGGATTGCTCCAGGCTTTTTACTTTTCGAAACATCTCTTCCTGTTCCGGGTCCTTAAGCGGCTTATCAGTTTCCACCGGGAACTCAAAGCGAGGAGTGTAGGAATATGGGTCAGGAGCTTTAAAGGTAGGCTCGGGAGGGTAGTACTGGCTGTCGTGAGTTGGAAACAATGGCTCACTGGAAGATCTTTGCAACGTGGCAGGTGGAGACGCCACAAATACCGGAGCAATTGGTGGTGAAGGACATGGAATTTGTTTGGGTGGTGGTGGTGGTGGTGTCTGAGAGGTGGTTCCGTAGTACTGTTGGTAAGTAGGGAAAGCGGGAGATGAGTTCACTGTGGGAGGATCTTGGGGTTAAGCTGGTGGTGGGAGATAATTGGGGTTGGCAGGACAGACTGGTGGCGGATGTCCCTTCAACCAGGCCTGGTACATCTCGGCCATTTGTTGCTTTAGCTTATACATCTCCTCTCTCATTGTATTAACGTCCACTGCCTCCTCCTCTCTGGATGGGTCGACAATGCTTGCTTCTAAATCCTGGTTGGTCATGTTTGACTTGTCCTTGGAGCGGGTGTTGTAAGGATGGGTTGCCAGAATGCCAGTCAGCTTAA